CACACTTGGCTTTGTGCTGAGTCTGCTAACTAGTTGAATTGTATTTGGCATGTATACACGTTATTAACTAAATGAAAGCTGAGAATATCAACCGGCCGGCCGAAACTTTGGTTAGTTAATTAGGCATGAGAGAGAGGGAGAGGGTTAATATCATTTTACTTCATCTTATACTTTTTAAAGTGCAAAAAGCATGACGAATGTTGTGACGAGTCAAAACGTGATAACTTAATTTGTAAGGGAATGTTTTGAGGCATTGCAATATATATAATGTCCTCTCATGACACACACACACACATATACTAGTTAGTGATGGTTATATATATAATTATTCTACAAACCAAACATTCTCTCTCTCATAGGATGTTTGAGTTTGGTAGCCCGCTCCTTTGCAACCATCTCAGCTGATCTCACTTTTCTTATAGCTTTTTAAAGTGAAATCATTTACTCAAAAATTTTGTTATGTTGCTTTTCTTTATTATGGAAGGTTCTCAGCATGCACAGTGTGCTATATATATTGCAGGAATCCTCCTATCATCCTGTAAGGGCTTTGTGAGTGCTTGCTTAATTGAATTATTCAATACCAAAATGTCCCTATACAAACTTTTTTTACAAAGTTTTAAAGGTTTTTCTGCATTAATGGATTTTAGTATATTGGGGTGTGTGTGCAATGATGCATATGCCTTGCTGATTTGACACATCGCCTTGAGAAACTTTTTAGATCAGGATGTTAATCATAAAAGACCATGATTGAGTTTGTCATATATATTTTTGGACCCTACCAAATCGAGCGTACATGATACTGTGATACACATAACTCCTGAAGGTGGTGTTTGGTACAGTATTACTATTTATCGATCAATATGAAGCATACACCCCACCTCAAATTTTACCTTTTTTTTCCTTCCCGCGTACAAAATGTTTCATTTTCTTTTGGATGATTGCTTCAGCCGCATGCATGCATTTGAATCCTTGAGCACGAGAGGTTCTTCAAGGAGATCGATGTGTATATGTGTTCATACAGTGAAATGAGTCTTTTCCTTGTTATATATTATATATATGTCACCTTTTCATGCATCGTTCTGGTACGCAGGGGTGGATGTAGGGAAAAAAGAGGGGGGGGGGGGGGGGGGGATGGATGGAAGAGCTTCAGCACCCCAAGCTCTCATCCATGGTGATAAAAATGAAAGGGGGGACTTGGGGGGCTGGAGAGGGTAGGGGGATCAACCCTCCCGGCACCTACGTTGGATCGCCCCTAGACCTAAACCATCTAGATGATTTATAAACCCTTTGGTTTAAACTTTTAAAATAAACCACTATAACTTATTTTGAAATACCTTAAGGTCATTGTGTGATTTAATATAGTTCTTGGACCCTCTAAACATGCCATATGCATATGCCACATCATCTATGCATGCAAATTCAATATTTAAATGTCCATTCCACCCTTACGATTTCATAGGAAATAAAGCAAAACTATTGAGAAAAAAAAGGTTTTGGCCATTGGCAAAAAGATGTAGCATTGGTAGCTAAAAAATTGGCATTTTCCTTTGTTTTATGATTGCTTCTTCTTGTTTTTCCTTTTTTTTCTTTTTCTATTTGCTAGAAAATTGAACGTTAAAATGGACATTTAAATGTTATCTTACATGCACAAATGACGTTGCATGTTCACGTGGCGTTTTAAGTGGGTCTAAGGACTATATTAAGCCGCATGATAATCTTTAGGGTCTTGTTTGGACATTATAAAACATTAAGGACTAATTCGACCCCTGAGCAAAAGTTGAAGGGCTGAACTGGCTATTCACCCTTATTACAAAGCGCCATTAGTTATTTGCCACACCATATTCTTTAAACTGCTTATGTCATGCCAACTAGGATAGCATTTGTCATGGTTATGGATACCACATATTCCCTCCGTCCCATAATATAAGGGATTTTGAGTTTTTGCTTATGATGTTTGACCACTCGTCTTATTCAAAAAAATTTATGTAAATATAAAAAACAAAAAGTTGTGCTTAAAGTACATTGCATAATAAAGTAAGTCACAAATAAAATAAATAATAATTCTAATTTTTTTGAATAAGACGAATGGTCAAACCGTGCAAGGAAAAACTCAAAATCCCTTATATTATGGAACGGAGGGAGTACCTAATAGTAGTTGACTAAACTCGGCAGGGCCCACCATATACCATGTCTTATACGGAAACAAACCTTGTGTATAGAAAGAGTTCCGGATAAGGAAGGACGGATAGAGTTCCATATGGAAACGACAAGGACTACTCGGATTGTATCCATATTGGTCTCCCTAGTCTTACATGGACAGATGGGCATCTATGGGTATAAATATAAGCCCCCCTAGGAAGAGAGGGGACACGCCACAAAGCCACAAGCCAATACAAACCAATACGCCGCTAAATATCGACATCATAGATTAGTCTAGACATACCCCATCCTGCGCCTACGGAGGCCGATAAGAGGGATCTAGCATCATCTCTGATCTCGCCGAGTATGGATTTAGGAGGAAGACTACCCCGTCGTCGACTACGAGTTGGTTATCTAGCAGCCAAGACGACGACAGCTACATAGATTATCCCAAATATTGTATGTGTGTGATTCAGATGAATAAAGGAGCAACACCGGCTTCGGCCAACAGGATGTAGGGCTATTATCTGTCAGATAAGGGGTCCGAACCTGTATAAAAATCTCTGTATCCATATCTTTTACCTCAATCTCGCATATACCCTGATACCAACGATCCACATACCATCCAAATTCCGTAGTCGTGATATCAAACGTCGACAGCGTCACAAAAAGGTTCATATCAAGAACAATAAGTTTGGGATAATTTATTTTGAAACTATATTAAAAAACTTCAAAAACAAATGAGTAAAAAAGATCATCCACATATGTCATCTCTTGCATGAGGGGGACAATTTTATAGATAATCAGATTAGATCAAATCTAGCCTTTGCTTCAACATAAGTTACAACAAATTGTTACAAAGAATGCAACATAAAAGACTGTGGATAATTCGAGATTGAGCTAGGAGTCCAAAACAATATATATATATATATATATATATATATATATATATATATATATATATATATATATATATATAAGAATCCAATACGAGATTAATTAATATTTAAAATAAAAATAAAATAAATCCAAAATTAGCAAAAAAAAAAAGGAAAGAAGAGTTCGAGTAGAAATACAATTTAAAAATAACTAAAATTCGGTATTAAAAATTAAGAAATATAGAAAGAAAAGTCCATATAAAAACCCAATACGAGGTTATTAAAACTCATAATAAAAAATAAGAAAAATTTAAAATTAGAAAAAAGATAATAAAAGAAGAGTTCAAGTAAGAATGCAATTTAAAATTAACTGAAAATCGGAATTAAATATGAGCAATATTGAAATAAGAGTAAATATAAAAACCCTATAGTAGATTAATTAAAATTTAAAACAAAAATAAAATAAGATAGAATATTAGACAAATTAAAAAAAGAGTTTATGTAGTAATGCAATTTTGAAACATCTGAAAGTGAAAATAAAAAAATAAAAAAATTAAAAGAACACAATACGATATTAGTTAAAATTTGAAACAAAAAATAAAATAGATTCTGAAATTAGAAAAAGAAAAATAATATTTCAACTATGAATAAAATTTATAAATAACTAAAATTGGTGTAAAAATAAAGACTATTGAAAGAAAAGACCATCTAAAACACATGACGAGATTAATTAAGTCACAGGCCTATAAAGGAGTAGAGTGCTGGCGGTTGATGGGATATCTAAAAACTATTAATAAAACACCAAATAGAATCCTAACGACAATTAAAAGGAAGGACGACGGACATGTCGTGAATCAATCGGTTAAGACGGTTGGTGGGACTTCTAGAAAGTAAAAAGATAAACCCCAGTGATAATCATATTTGATTTTTAAAATCTTAATGACAATAAAAAGAGAGATAACGGGTGGGTCGTACAAGAGTACAATAGTAGAGCCGCCGATGGTTGGTGGGACTTCTAGAAAGTAAAAAAAAAAGAATTCTAACGATAGTTATGTACGATTTTTACAATCCCAGTAATAATAAAGAGTAGGTAGCGGACATGTTGTAGATGAGTATAGTGGTAGCGTTTGACAGGATTTTTAAAAATATATAAAAAATGAAACCCAATGAGAAAATAAACTCTAAACACTATAAGGTCCATTTTTTAAAGGTTCGGGCTTCTTAAAAAGTAAAAAAAATAAACCTCAATGATAATTATGTTTGATTTTAAAATCTCAGTGACAATAAAGAAGGGTGGCAACGGACGAGTCATAGAGGAGTACAGTGACAAAGTCGCTGACATAGATATATGTTTGTCGTTTCGGTCATCATAGACGCAAACCCAGAGACTTAAACGGGACATGTCAGTAATGGACGTTAACCGTGTTGGTAATCTATTAATGTAGGTTTCCATGTTTTCTTCTCTCTTACTATTTCCATGTCTTTAAAAATAAAATTACGGGGCAGCAGCAGCATATACGTCGGAGTGAAAATATAGCAGCCTACCATGCATCTAATTATGGCAAAGAAAAACACCCATTCCTCTTTTTTTTTTTTACAATAGTCTTATCCGAAGTTCCGAACGGATATGACTCATTATTCATTATTATCAGGAATATTCCTACACGCCCACCGTAAACAGCGTTTATCCAGCCGATTAAACACGCGGTGGTTAATGAACATCGATCCACTCCTAACAACCTTCGACAATTATTATCCCTAATTCCCTATTAACAACAACTAACCAGCTAAAATTAAACATGCACCCATGCGCATGCACGGGGAGAAAAAAAAACGTATGTACACGGCGCAAAAAAAATTACAGAAATACGTGTATACACGGCCGGCGGCGACGATTTTACCGGCGAACAGTGCACGCTCCCGTCGCATCCCGTCCCTACTCCGGCCAGCCGGGCCGGGGCCCCCAACCCAACCGCAACCACAACCACCAACGACGCCGATCGATCGAGCCAACTCCTCTACAATTTCGTATATAAGTATAAGTACTCCCCGTCCTCTTCCATCTCCTCCACTTCTCAATACCTCTTCATTCTCCCGCCTCCTCCTAGTTTTGTGCTGCTCCTCCGCTTACGGATCAGGAGATCCGAGATCCCGCGTCTCATTCTTTTTTCGACCCTGTTTTTTCTATCCAGAAATTGTTGTTGTTGTGTATTAATCTCGCGCTTCTGCTATTATCCAAGAAAGAAAGGAGAATTATCCGGCAGTTTCAGAGGTGAGAATTGTCCCTGTTTCTCGGGCGAGCTAAACTAGCGGTGGCATCGACCGAGCATATGCTCCGTGTTGGTGTATATATACTCGTATCCTCGGAGTATCGTCACTCCGCCGCAGCAGCAGCTGATCCAGCTTCGTCGTCGTCGGCGATCGCCACCGGCAGCTAGGCAGTGACGGTGACAGTAGGAGGAGATCAGGATATGGACTGCTTCGCGGAGACGGAGGGGAAGAGGGCGCATGACCCGCTGTACCAGCGGCGCGCGGCGGCGGCGGCGACGCCGGCGACGGGGGTGCCGGTGGACGACGTGGACAAGGTGGTGGACGTGCCCGGGGCGGTGATCGTCGGCGCCGGGCCGGCGGGGGTGGCCGTGGGCGCCCTGCTGGGGCTGCGCGGCGTCGCCTACGTGGTGCTCGAGCGGTGCGGGTGCATCGCGTCGCTGTGGCGCCACCGCACGTACGACCGCCTCTGCCTCCACCTCCCCAAGCGCTTCTGCGAGCTCCCGCTCAGGCCGTTCCCGGCGAGCTTCCCGGAGTACCCGACGAGGGACCAGTTCCTCGGCTACCTCGACGCCTACGCGCGCGAGTTCGGCGTCGAGCCGGTGTTCCGGCGGGCGGTGATCAGCGCCGAGTACGACGGGGAGTCGTGGTGGGTGTACACCAGGGAGGTGGTCGCGGCGGCGGCCGGCGGCGAGCAGGCCGTCCTCGGGTGCACCATGACCGTGTACCGGAGCAGGTGGCTCGTCGTGGCCACCGGCGAGAACGCCGAGCCCGTCGTGCCGGAGATGGACGGCGCCGGGAGGTTCAAGGGCCAGATGATGCACTCCAGCGAGTACCGCAACGGCGACGGCTACGCCGGGAAGAAGGTCCTCGTCGTCGGCTGCGGCAACTCCGGCATGGAGGTGTCCCTCGACCTCTGCAACCACAATGCGCGCGCATCCATGGTGGTGCGCGACACGGTGAGAATTGAAATACGTACATGCACTTCTTGTTGATTGTTGTGATCATCAAAAAAAAGAAAGATTTGGTCTTTGTTTCTTGTTTCTTCTCCTCCTTTTCGCGCACACACACACAGCACAGCACCGCCCATATTTGTTTTTGTTTTTTTTTGTGTGGGATTTTATCGTCTTTTGTTGGTTGGTTCAGATGGAATACTACTGATTTCTCAAATGATTATGATCACTAGCAAGCTGGGGAAGAGCCTGAAAAGAATCTGATAACTTCAGGATTTGTTTAATTAATAGTGAACACATTAGATAAAAGAAGATGCATGCACAAACAAACAGATTAAACAAAAGGTGATATTTGCATCTTTTCCATTGGTGCAACCTTTTTCCTTATACTTAATCATCTATTGCACAGACTCGCACTGTCTGTCTGATCTTCTTTTTGTGCATAAGCATGAGTCTAGCAAAGTGATTAGTCTGGTTGGCATCACACTTGATCTCACGTGTTCATACACTTCCCTAAGCACACACACAAAAAAAAAATTAATTGCTAGCTTCTGATCTCCCTGCATGTGTTAACATAGCTTTTCTTTTCTCGGTAAAAAAGGCAGAGAGCTTCAGCCATGCATGCCAAGAAAGAGGCTGCGATTCTCTAAGGAACTTTCTTGGGATTCATGAGCATGCGCTAGCTAGCTTGTGATGATCCTTTTGAAGAAGAAAACAAAGGATATTTAAAAAAACAGAACCAACTAGATTGCACCGATATAACAGTTTAAGTTTCCAAAATAGTTCAGTTTAATTAATTATATAGCTTTCTACTTATTTATTAACTAACAACAGCACTAACTTGTGTCATTTGGAATGCTATTAACGGTTATGGCAACAAAACTCTTCGCGATTGGCCTATTGATACTTTATAAAAATTCGATCAATATGATATACTTTCTGTTTATATACTTATTTTTTTCTCCTCATTGGAATGTGAATTTGCATAGCATTAATAAAACTACCCTGATGCTGATAAGCATATTCATGTGGAAGCTGCACCCAAGTTGTTTGCCCCCATAGCACTTTGCAAAGCAAGATGTAGTACAGCCTCTTGCTACCACCTGCAACCTGCAGAACATATCAGCAATGAAAAAAAAGGCCTTTAGTTTCCAAGTGTTTGGGCCCCAAGCCCTGCCTTTTCTTATGTTTCTCTCTCTCTTTTTAAGCCCTTTAGTTTCCTTCATTTAACTTGTGTCCATGTCACAAACAAAACAAAAAACCAGCCACTTTGATGTTGTGCTTCTCCTTTCGGTGTTATTTTATAACATTCCCATAAAATGAAATTAAAAACCCTTCCTTAATTTGCAAACCGATTGTAACTGTAACTGATGATGTGTTACCAAATTCTATTCAAAACTTTTTTTCTGATTTGTGAATAAGTTGATGGTGCAGTCTGTCTGACTCTAGCTAATTGTGATCTCTTTTTCATATTCTTCAGGTGCATGTCCTACCTAGAGAAATCCTGGGGTTCTCCACTTTCGGTCTGTCCATGTGGCTCCTCAGGTGGTTGTCTGTCCAAACGGTGGATTGGCTGGTACTCCTGTTGTCGTTCCTCGTGTTCGGTGATACGGCCCGCCTGGGCATCCCACGGCCCAGCCTTGGCCCCTTCGAGCTCAAGAGTGTGTCGGGTAAGACGCCGGTGCTCGACGTCGGAACCCTAGCCAAGATCAAGTCCGGGGACATCAAGGTTGGTATTAACAGCCGGAACCTTTAAATTGACTAATATATTAGCCTTACTCTCTCCCAATTGCATGTAACCTAACATTTCACATTCACTGGGTTATGATATGCAGGTGACCCCAGCAATACAATGTTTCCAAGAACATGGCGTGGAGTTTGTGGATGGCAGCACTGAAGAATTTGATGTTGTCATCCTGGCCACAGGATACAAAAGTAATGTGCCATATTGGTTAAAGGTATGCACATACATGCGTTATATTTATTCTCTACACAAGTTCATTGATTCTCTACGCAAGTTTATCATCGTCACACATACATATATGGTACATGTCAACTGATTAAAAATTGATCTTGTTCTTAATTGGTGTGTAAATAGGAGAAAGAATTCTTCTCAGAGAAAGATGGCTTCCCAAGAAAGGGAAATGCGTGGAAAGGGCAGAATGGCCTGTACGCTGTTGGTTTCTCAAGGCGTGGTCTCTCTGGAGTGTCCATGGACGCCAACAACATTGTGCAGGATATTGTGCAGCGTTTGCACGATATGGGCTATGAAAGAAGTGAGAACAACTGACATGGAATGGAACCCACTTGTTTTGATCAGAGCATTTTTCTTGTAGACACGTCATGTGCTGGTCTGGTTTACATTTCACCCTAATTAACAGGTAGATACAAGCCTGAAAAAAGCCATCAGGACAATCTACCAGTGCATATGCATGCATATACTTTGATCAGGCTAGTGCATCTCATTTTTTTCCCCAAACTCATAATGTATATAAGTCATGGTATAGGCAGTAATCATTTGTTGCATTTTTAGTGATATGATTTGGCCGGCCTAATTTTAACTGGAGGGAGTGAAAACTAGAGTATTGAGTTTGAGGGAGAATAGCATAATCAGTTTAGTTTTGGTCGCGCGTCTTTTTTGAGAAAGCTTTGATTTCATTTCCTTTTTTTTTCATTTTGGCAATTGTTGTCATGTTATTTTGTAAGTGTCAATTGTAACAAACAACATTTGCAATAATCTATGCTCTGGTAGATTTTCTGTTCTATTGTTTTCACATTATAGCCTTCTTACTCTCAATTTTGCGTTAACTAATGTGTACTTTCAGTGGGTACCAATGGAAATCCATATGGTAAGTCAACAATACCAAACATTATCTAATGCATGTTTCAGTATATATATCACCTTTCTAGATGAATCCCACATACACCATTTCAGTATCAGCTAGGAGCTGAAACTGTTTGGACGATGAAGTCTCTCTACAGGATATATATAGAGTTGAAACTATACCAAACAGGTTCTTAATGCCGATATTTTCATACATATATGCATGGTGCTTTCAATTATATCGTCATCATTCTGTACCAATATGTATTGATCCCAAGGGACCACTCCACCACCACAAATCAGGCCACTAGAGCATATATGCAGTGATACCGTTCAACCCCTGGTTTTATGATGTCGATCGATCCTACATGCAATCAAAGTACCCTCTCACTCTCATAGCATAGCTAGTCAGAGGAAGGAGATGCATTTCTCATCTTGTCCAACACCAAAAGGGGGCTCCGAGACCTTATGCCCTAACCCCAGTTGCATGTCTGCGCTGTCTCTCATCTGAGACTCATGAAAACATATATTCCAGACAAGGCATATTCTTGCACCGGCCCAGCCTTGAGCTGTCGCGCCAATGGTATCAGCTACTCCCTCCGTTTTAAGTTATAAGATGTGTTTGACTTTGGTCAAAGTCAAACTGCTTCAAATTTAACTAAATATATAGAAAAATATAATAATATTTACATTACAAATCAGTTTTATTAAATTAATAATTAAATATATTTTTATAATAAACTTATCTTGGATCGAAAATATATTACTATTTTTTTATATACACTTCGTTAATTTAAAGCAGTTTAACTTTGACCAAAGTTAAAACATCTTGTAACGAGAAATGGAGGGAGTAATAGAGATCGATCGATCGATCAGCCTGGAAGCCCTTGCTCCTTAGCTTTTCTGAAGCCACGATTCCATCTCATCTCCATCATTTCCCACTTTCTAACAAGCAAGATGCAAGAGAGATTCTGTCCGTCGATGGCAACAAGGTGGTGTGCTTATGGGGCACGGGCGGCGCCGCAGGATCGCCGAGCGCCCTGCGTAGTGCTAGCTGCCACTGCACCCAGCCGCGCGCGCACTTGGCGTGTACTCGGCACACGTAGCTACGTAGGGTTCCGTCCCTGCATCATTGCGCTCTTGTGCTCAGAGGAGGACACCATGCATATTATTAATTCCATTCCATGTATTGCTGTCTGCATATATATGTACATGCACGGTGCTTATTGGCTTGATTTTTCAGCTGGGAATATATGCTTCATATACACGAGCCTCCGAGGGTTGCCAACGACATGTGAATGTAGATTGAATTTGTGTTGGATGTTTACTAGAATTTGCATATGCTTTCAAAATGGCAACTTTGAAGTATATATACTTGCAATTATGCGATGGACGCAAGGGCCTGTTCTTTATAGATGATTGATGATTTATGATACTGAGTTTATGATAATTAATTATTTGAGGGCACAAACGACTGAATTAAATATTACAAATTGATTTGAAAATTCTAATAAATGCCGATGAAGATTTTTTAAATCATATATATACTATTTATAAGTTTAGAAAATGTGCCCATGATAATCCGTAATTCATAAATTGATCAGGCAAGTTTGAAACAGATATTTGACGACTAAATTATTATAGTAGATAATCTATTTAATTATAGGGATTGGTTAAATATTTTAATATACAAACTTAAAATAGCTTACAACAAGTGGTCTATGCAATGCATGAGAATATTTTTTTTCTATAAAACATATATTTGGAGATATACATTAAATAATTCAGGGCAATATCACTACTAGAAAAAGCATTTTCCCAACGTGAGGACCTTATTTATTTTCGCAGGCAGACATGACCCTTAGAGCAAAATGACCGCCTACAAAAATATAAATCGGGGTGAAATTTGATGCCCGCTTGCCAAAATAGATTTTTTTCGCAGGCGGACCACTTAAGCGGCGCCTGTGAAAATCATTTTCGCAGGCGCCGCTTAAGTGATCCACATGCAAAAATAGACTTTAATATAAATAGATTTGCGGGCCCTAATTTTTTTCTAAGTCCTCACACCTCCGAGTCGCTCCACACCTCTCCTCCCTTCCTCACCGGCCTCTCCCCTCCCCTCCCCTCCCCTCCCCTTACTTCTACTCTCCCCGGCGGCGGCTTCCGGCGGCGGCGGCGGGCGGTGACGGCGGAGGGCAGCAGCGGCAAGGAGGTGCGGCCGAAGTCCGGGCGGCGGCAGCGGTTCCCCTCCCCCCTCCCTCCTAGATCTGGCCGGAGGAGGGAAGGGGGAGGCCGGCGGTGGCGGCAATGGCGTGGAGCGGCGGCGGCGGCGGCTCCCCTCCCCCTTCCCTCTCAGATCTGGCCGGAGGAGGGAGGGGGAGGCCGGTGGGGGGCGACGGCGGCGGCTCCCCTCCCATCTCCCTCCCAGATCTGGCCGGAAGAGGGAGGGGGGAGGCCGGCGGGGGCGACGGCGCGGGGCATCCTCGTCGTCCTCGCCATCCTCGTCGGCATCATCGCGCTCATCGTCTACCTCGTCCTCTGCCCCACCCACCCTCGCTTCTACCTCCAGGACGCCACCCTCCGCCAGCTTGACCTCTCCAACTCCTCCTCCACCGCCGGCGCGGGGCGGCCGGCGGCGTCTCCCCTCCCTCCCTCCCTCGTAGATTTGGCCGGAGGAGGGAGGGGGGAGGCCGGCGGGAGCGGCGGCGGCGACGAAAGCGCGGGGCGGCGGTGAAGACGACGCGCGGGGCGATGACGGCATGGAGCATGGCGGCGGCGACGATGACGATGGCGGCAGCTCCCCTCCCCTCTCAGATCCGGCCGGGGGAGGACGGCGGCGGTGAGCCGCGTGCGGCGATTTTTTTTGTTCGTTTTTTTGCATTTTCGCAGGCGGGCCGTTGCGATTGTCGCAGTCGTTGTGATGCAGGCGGATCTCCCTCCTGCCTGCGAAGATTATATAATACGATGAAGTAATTGAAAAGATTGAATAGAGTTGTATGTGACGTGGTTAATTGAGTATGGCCAAAAAGGTTCTAATAAATTCTAAAAACATTACATAACGTAGATTGTTGTTGTGTCACATATCACTCGATAAAATATATATGCAAGATCAAATTTGATTTTTTTTAACAAACAAAATGGTAATCCCAAGTATGAACGTGATTGCTTATTTTTGCTATGTTTGTTATATTTGTTTCAGCATGTTTAGATACTTGTCAGTAAATGGATGTATGAAGATATAATCATCTACGCTGTCTTTCATACATATATATAACTATTTAAAAAAGTGAAAATAAAGAAGACATACATACACTCTATAGTATGTATTAATAGTTAAAACTAATGGTAGTCTAACCAGTCAAAAATATATTGATGGTCAAAGTAAAAAAAAAGTAGAAGTCAAATAGTGCACAATATTTGTAAATGGAGAGAGAGGAGGTGAATACCCGTACTCCTTCATCCAAAAATATAACAATATTTGATTTTTTTTTTTCAAAGAGCTTAAGATTGAGGTCAGAGATGGTTGTTACATAGATAAGTACTCCGGTAAAAAGAATAAATGAAAAATAAGTTTGTTGAGATGAAAATGTTGATAAGATACCCTTGTAGTCTTAGATAAATTTTAAACTCCAGCTATCATTATATAACCTTATATCACGTGGTTTAGGTGATGTGCCAAATCTGGTTATTATTCTATACCACTCCCTCCATTTTAAAATATAAAGGATTTTAGATAGATATAACGTATTATAGTCTTATAAATCTAAACGTCTTATTCAATCAATCACGAGGTTCAGTAGACACGACATGCTTGCAATATATATGCATGCCCATAAATTGCAACCAAATTTAGATGCATAATATATGATGTGACCTGAGGTCAAGTACCATAAGTGCAAAGCAGAACCCAAAAGGATAGATGAGGGCTAACATGGGCTTTTCTTGGAAGTTGTTTTTAGTGAAGGTTGCTTTTCTGCTTTTTAGTCCCGTCTGATCGTCAACAGCGACCTAGGAGTGTTTACATGGGGCTAAAACATTTTAGCCCATGTCATATCGGATGTTTGGATGCTAATTTAAAATATTAAACATGGACTAATAAAAAAAACTAATTTCATAAATGAGAGCTAATCCGTGAGACGAATTTTTTAAGCCTAATTAATCCATAATTATCAAAAGTTTACTGTAGCATCACATTGTCAAAATCATGGCGTAATTAGACTCAAAAGATTCGTCTCGCGAATTAGTCCAAGCTTATAGAATGTATTTTGTAATTAGTGTATGTTTAATACTACAAATTAGTGTCCAAACATCCGATGTGACAGGGACTTAGAATAAGTCCCTGGAAACCAAACAGCCCCTAGTTGCACTTGGTTCACATCTGGAGCATCATCAAGATCTTATACATTCTCCAACACAGAGCGCATTTTATGCCGGAGCACTTTTCTCTAGCGAGCAATAATAGTGCAAGTAGTATAAAAAGTTGGGAAACTATTTTAAGCCATCAAGGATGTTTCTTGTATTCAGTATAAATAATTAATAAAAAAACATAAAAAATAATTACTGTAGATAAATCGATAAGTGTGTTAAATGTTCTACACAAACCTGAACTATCAAATTTTATCTACAAATAAAAGGAAAAAACATCACATTTGATTATGAAAAGTAGAGTCTTATTTGCAGTTGCATTTATTATTAGGTTTCTATATGTATTAATTATTAAAAGAATTTTCATAACTATCTAGTGGTTACAGTGGATAGGGGAATGCCATCAGGGGATATGAAGCAGGAGCAACGGCGACGGAGGGGAGAGACACCCAAAATAGGGTGGTTGGTGGATGAGGAAATATAGGTAATCGGTAAAGAAGTGACATAGTTGGAGGACGCAACACCAAATAGATAAACAAAGAGGAACTCTTTCGAGAACAATGTAGCTAGATACTC